CGACGTACAGACTTTCAACTGGAGTAGTGCGAAACGCACCTAAACTGATTCTAAGTCCTTGATGGTGTATGGTATCAAGCTCTTTGATATAGGATTGACGAGCCGAACACCCATAATCGAGCTTGGAACGAACCAAAGCTCGATATAATCGGAGGAGGACCTTTCGGTCGGCTCCCCAGTCAGTATTGGATAAGACTCTCAGTATGTTGAGAGCTTTCAGACATTTGTTCTTGAGGATTTTAATATGGGGACGAAAAGAAAGCTTGCTATCAAAAGTAAGTCCCAAAAAAAAAGTAGTGAGAGTTGAACCATCTGCCTCTAAATGGTTCACAGATATTGTATCCGCTTTACCCTTGATCCTACGAATCCTATCCCAGACTGATTTGGAAGACGTGCGACTGTTGATCCTTGAAACATACTCCTGCCATGACGACCTCTTTGCTTGACGGATAGTCCGCCTGGCTTTCGCCCGTGCAATGCGGAAAGAGGCCATGTTGTCAGCGGTAGGAGAACGTTCAATCAGTCGCAGAGCACGATTACGTTCTTTCAGTGCTGTCTTACAGTCTTCGTTAAACCATGGTTTATTGAATCGTTTTGGAGTTGCCGAGGTTTTACGAATCGCCTGACCCGATACATCTTGTAAGATAGTGGTAAATAATTCCATCGGGTCTTCTGCCTCATCTAGATCATCTTGAGAAAAAGAAGAAATGCAAAGAGCCTCAAAGAGAGGCCAATTAGCTTTGGAGATTTTCCATCTTTGTGGCCTGTCTACTGGTGAAGGACCATTATTCCGTAGAATTACATGATAATGATCACTGTGGCAGAGATCGTCGTGGACACTCCAAGAAAAATCTTGGAACAAAGATGGAGAGCTAATTGTCAGATCTAGATGAGAAAAAGTTTGGTTTTTTTAGCAGAAATACGTAGGCGATTCGTCATTAAAGATGCAAAGATCATTGTCATAAATGAAGTCAGCTATTAATTTTCCTCTGGTATTATCATCGGAGCTACCCCAGAAAGAATGGTGACCATTGAAATCTCCTAACAAAATGTAAGGAAAAGGAAGCTGGGCAACAAGGTCATCCAATTCTCTCCGGTTCATTGATAAGCTAGGTGGTAGGTAGATGGAACAAATGGTAATAGGCACATGGAGTGTAACTCGCACGGCTATTACCTGCAGAGGAGAATTGAGTGTTTTTTCGGACTGGGCGACATTCTTATTGACAATAATAGAAACACCACCCGAGACCTTATCATCACCAGTGCCATAATGGTGGTAGGAAACAAAATGTTTAAACG